TTTGTACCCATCTAATTTCCTAGTTTATTCATTCTTTCGTCAATCCTTCTCACATGGTATCAGTGCGAAGGTCTCGGGTTCGAATCCCAGTGTGTGCACTTCGGGCATCCCAGTGCGGGGGGTTGTCAGAGGTCCACTGGTGATCCCCGATTGATCCTAGGGAAGGGTTACAGGCTCCTTGTCCTGGAGGGTTATGGGCGCACTGACCCGCTACTTAACAAGCCCTTTTATCCCTATGGTCTAGTGGTTGGGATTCTGACAAAACGCACCGGAATAGTTACTCACGTTTACTGTCGCGATAGCTACAGCTGTCCGTTGCCCGAAGGGAGGGAGGTCATGGTGGATCGCGATCGCCTAAGGAGTGCCCCATAAAAACTTGGCAGCGAGGAGCAACTAACTACCGTCATACCCCGGATATAAGCGCCACCCGCGGATAAGCGCCTGGCGCTTTTAATTGGCGTGTGGCGCTTATATCCGGTGCTCGATTATAAGCGCATACCTAAAAGGCTTACGGATTATAACCGCATACCTGTGCCTTACATTTTATAACCGCCACCCAGTTTTTTTCTTTTTTTTCATTTGAAGACCTTTTACATAATTAGTATACTAAAACATCATGTTAATTACTCTACAACTAGTTAATCTACTCCTACCTACGAGCCTCACACAGGCTTCACCATTTTCTACACTAGTTAATCTACCCTACTCTAATCATCAGCTGCAGTGGGGTCATCTGGGTCGGCCTCAGAGTCCGACTCAGGTTCCTCTACGTTGTTGCAGAAGAAACCGTGTACTGCAATTTCATCATCCATGTCGACCTCCTCGCCCTCGAGCTCGTCTCGCCTGTGTTGCAGGCAGAGCTTGTCCTGGGACCCATCCAGGGCGTTGCTGATGCCGCAGGTGAGGAACGCCCGTTGAATGAGCTCCTTGGGCACGGACTTCCAGGCCGCCGAGATCCACTTGAGCATCAGCTCAACAGGAGGCTTCTTGATGTTGCCTGCCACGCAAATCCAGAAACCGGGTCAGCACGGGTTAAAGAAATAAAAACATAAACAGAAGAGCTGCACCTCTCGTCAAGGTGTCGACCCCCTCACGCTCAAACCACTCCTGGTAGAGCTGGCGAACGGCGGCCTTGAAGGAGCGGTTAACCGCGACGTCGAGGGGTTGAATCTCCGAGGTGCAGCCAGCAGGGATAACCGCAGGGACCAGGTTCAGCTCGCCAAACTTCTTCTTCACCTCCGGGGTCAGGTGCCCGCGGTACGAATCGAGGACGAGCAGAGCTTTGCGGGGGCGGACTCCGAACTTGGGGTTGATGTACGGCTTCACCGCCCCGTCCAGCCACTCGATGACACCGTCCGCGTCCATCCACCCGTTGGGATGGACCCCCACGTGGATATCTGCACAGCAACAAAACCACGATATTAGTTAAACTTTTTAACTGACATCGACATGCCACCGCGTAATCGACGTGTGGTGCATACCTGAAGGGAAATCTCCTTTGGGGACGGTCTTCTTTTTGAAGAAGACCCAAGGCTTCAACTTCTCCCCGCTGGCGGTGCAGGCGAGCATCACTGTAACCCGCTCTTTCTGGCAGCCGCCGCTGCGGACGGGCACGGAGCGCGAGCCAACCTCTTCAACGGTGCGTTCGGATGGCATCTCGAGCCAGAGGGGCTTCTGGTCCGCGTTTAGAATCCACAGCAGGTCGTGTCAGAATCCCAACCACTAGACCATTGGGATAAAAGGGCTTGTTAAGTAGCGGGTCAGTGCGCCCATAACCCCCCAGGACAACGAGCCTGTAACCCTTCCCTAGGATCAATCGGGGATCACCAGTGGACCTCTGACACCCCCCCGCACTGGGATGCCCGAAGTGCACACACTGGGATTCGAACCCGAGACCTTCGCTCTGATACCATGTCAGAATCCCAACCACTAGACCATTGGGATAAAAGGGCTTGTTAAGTAGCGGGTCAGTGCGCCCATAACCCCCCAGGACAACGAGCCTGTAACCCTTCCCTAGGATCAATCGGGGATCACCAGTGGACCTCTGACAGGTCGATCTTGTACTGCCGGCGGGAGTGACGCACGTACGTCCAGAAGTTCTTGACATCAGTCTCGTAGTCTGGGACACGGGATGGGAGGAACAGAAAGCACAAACACAGAGTGAGAGCCGTGAATAGACGGGAACAGACAAACAACAATACCACCAAATAATAACTCACTGGACGAGAGCTTCTGGCCGACCCGGGTCTTCGCTCTGGTCGTCAGGTTCCAGTGGCGGCGAAAGCGCTGAGTCCACCGCAGAGAGCCGGCCCACTTTTCATCTGGGTGTAACTCTTTCATCACCTCGTGCGACCACTTCTGCAGTCGTGCGATCGAGACGGCGAGGCACTTCTTGCGGTGGGCGAGAAACCTCCGGTACACCTCCGCTTCCATGTCGCGATACCACGAGCTCCTTCCGCGGCCGTGCAGGCGACAGCGTGCACCGTGCGCGCCCTCAAGCTCACCCTTGCGGTTCTTCCACTCCGTGAGGCACCTTCGGGAGATGCCGGATGCGCGAGACATGCGCCGCACACTCATCTCTCCGGCTTCGAGCTTCAGAATCCATTGCAGCTTCTCATGCGAGGTGTAGGAACTGCGCCTGTGCTTTGTCGGCTTGTGCCTGGGGGAGGGAGGACGGGCATCACGATTATCGTGAGATGGGTGGGGCCTTTTTTTATTCGGAGGGGGAAAGGAGGGAATTGGAAGGTGCTCGGGGAGACCATCAGCAGCCCAGAACTCCACGTCGTCGTCCGCACCGGTAGCGGATTCGTCCAACGGGCAATCAGCCGGCGCTCCCCATCGTGGCTCCGGTGCGGAAGAAGATCCTTCGCCGCCGCTGCGTTCAGGCTCGGACAGGAAGGCGTCGAACGCCGAGTAGCCAGGGGGGAGGAGAAGCTGCAGAACCCCCTGTCGCGGAACACCAACAGCAGGCGGGACGGGAGGGGCCGGAGGAATGGGAGGAATAGGAGGCGCCGGGGGAGCGGGAGGGGTAGGAGGCGTAGGAGGCGTGGGAGGAACGGGAGGCACTACTGGTTGTGGTGGAGGGACGGGCGCAGGGCGCGTCTGCCATTGAGAGTAGTCACGAGTGTCTCTGTGGGTATTTTCTCTAGCAGCAGGTTGGCGGCGGAACAAGAAATGCGTGCCTGGAAGGCCCGCCATGGACACGGCAGGCCAAACGAACGAAGAAAACTGAACCAAAAGTTGGGAATGAGGGCTGTATGAAGCCCTCGCCCGAGACCCCTTCAGTTTCGCGGCCCGGCCTCCTCTGCGGGGAAAGTGTGGCCACAGTCAAGATTCCCCGCAGAGGAGCTGAAAGGGACAGCTCTTTGCCTCGGTGGCAGGGAATCTTGCTGTTGATGGGCACGTCGTGGCTGAACCACGACGTGCCCACGATCGCATGCAACCCTGATTGGGCCGCTGTGATGCGAAGTACGTGTGCCCTAGCATGGGCCAGGTTCACGTTCGATGAACCTGGCCTGGCCAACAAGGCGTGGAAGGCATGATGCCACGCCTTGTTGGCCGTTTCACGCGCAAAGCATGCACAGAGTCGAACGTTCTCGACTCAGGTGAATCCGCCTTTGAGAATGCTTCGATTTGGTATATTTAAAAACAAATTTCATTTTTGACATAATATAAACGCCGGCGCTTATAATTTTACTATATTATAAGCCCACCCCCTAAAAAAAACAAGTTTTATTAGTGCCCCCCATGGGGGTATATCCGGGGTATGACGGTATTTCTCCTGGCCGGCTAGCACGCAACTCCTGAACCCCAAGGCATCCTTCCTCTCCTCCCACCCCCCCCCCCCCCGAGGGGTATTACACTCTAAAAATCGGGGTAGGCTAGGAAAGTAGCTATGGTACCAGGTGTTATGAATGAACTTGCAGAGTGCGCAGAATAACGAATAACGAGACTGAATTACTGAACGACGATACAATGAAAGTGGCGAGACTAAATAGCGGAAAACCTAGCTAGGCGGGGAGGTCGGAAGAGGCTGGCTCGAAAGGGTTGCGATTGGTGCGGAGGAGATTCGTATGCCGAACCAGCTGGTCGCGTGGCCCTCCTGATGTACCCGCTAAGGGCTGGTATAGTAAGGATTTGTAAATCCTTAGAAGCTTCTTGTTCCGATGTAGTTAAAATACATGCATGCATTCATTACAGGTTGCGACCTCCTCAAGCAGTCCTCGTCCCACACTGCCACTCACTCCAAGACCTGGTGCTTGGGAAGCGGTGCTGAATGAATCTGTACTGTTGTGCACTGTGCAGTTGACTGCCATTTGGAAGGTGAAAAAGTCCGTCGTTGTCTGTCATCCATTGTCGTGTCGTCTGCTCTGCAGCAAATGAGCTCAGCTCTGCCCGAGATTGGAATGGCTGCTTGATATGACGGTTGGTTTGGTGACGGTTGAAGCGGGTATAATGCCGCTTGACGAGTATCCTAGGGAGATCCAACGATGCCTGTCAATCACACCCGAAACGACGGATTTCGTTGATAGGTCCGCTTGATTCTACGTCGGCCGCCATTGGCTGAAGTTCGTACTCACCGCACGATTGCGACCAGGGTGGAGGGCTGTTCTGTTCTCTGTTGCCGTCGCCACTAGACGCAACGTGTGGTTCCTAGCGTAACACGGATTCCAGAACGTTCGTTGTTCGTGACGCCCTCACTCTCGAAAGAGCATGGCACAAGCTCTGAGCATGATTCAACCACAGACGGATCCTCCTTGAATGCGCCAGAGATATTTTCATTCTGCCGTCTTCTCAGTGATGAGCCGTCTATGCAGCGGTACAAACATAGCGAGCACGCGGTATTGGTCCGTTCGTTTCAGCGCCATGAGCCCTCCATTCTGAAAACGTCGCTCAGGCCCCTATTGAGGCGCCAAGCTTACACCATTCTTTCCCGTTCGCCGTAATCGGACAGACCCCCCCCCCTCCCCCCCTAGTCTACCCGACATCCCCTTTTGGAGATGGCTTCAAGCTTCCCCAAGTCGCTGGCAGGAAGTCCCTTCGTGTTCCCCTTAGTACTCTCCCCGCTCGGAGCTCCCCCGCCCCCGCCGTTTCTGCGCGAAGAGGGGGAAGACGAGCTGTCGGACGACCAGGAGGCGCTGCTGCCGCGCACTTCGCAAGCAGCAGCGGCGACGCCGGCGGGGATAACGGTGGAGGGAGGGAGTGGCGCGGTGGCGGCAGGGGCCGCCGCAGCGGCGGCGGGGGCAAAAGCGCTTCCGTTCTGCATCGCGATCGCCGTCGTTCTGTTTGTCGTTGTGATTCTCGGGGTGATTACATTCGCGGCTCGGTACTACATGCTGATTCACCTGCGCCGCGCTCGCCGCGCGACGAACGACGCGGATTCAGCGGCGACCGCCGGCGCGGGTGGTTCGCAAGCGTCTCGCGGCAGCGGGCTGGACGCGGAGCGAATCGCGGCGTTCCCCACATGGCGTTACTGCGTTTGCCCCGCCGTTGCGGAGGATGTTCCCGCCAACAAGGGGGATGGTGATAAGGAAATTGCTATAATGGCTGGCGCTAAGAATTTGTTACGGGAATCAGACGCTCAGGAGTCAAAGTTTTTGAAACGGAGAAGTTTGTTGACGAGCACTGAATGTACAGTGTGCCTGAGTGACTTTAACGAGGGCGAGCTGGTTCGGTCCGTGCTGCCGTGCGAGCATCGATTCCACGTGGCGTGCATTGATCATTGGCTCGCCTCCAAGACCACGTGCCCCGTGTGCCGAACGGACCTCAAATCGCCGTCGCCACCACATGCGGGTGAATTCGACTCGGATGTCGCGGAGGAGGAGGGAGGGGACGACGCTGTCTGAAGTTGTTTCTGATCCCAGTGAATTCGGTGATATAAAACGAGATTGCCGTGCGCACGAGGTCGCGCGTGTGACCGCGTGCGCCTGTGCGTATACTTCATGTTTTGCTTTTTTTCCTTCTCCACAGATCTGTCACGAAGTGGCGATTCGGGAGTGGTTATTAAAAAGTAGGGGTCAGCATCAATGGTGTCCAACGGCATCAAGACACCGACGCGGGGAGGACGGACACTAGAAAGTGGGCTCGTCGGTGTAAAGAACTCGAGCGCCTGCCTATGTAGCCTCTGAGGAGCCTTGAGGAACGCTGGTGCAGCCATGGCCTGGGAATGGATCTGAGTGATTTGGTTGTGCGAGCCTACGTAGTGGGAGTTTGCTCCTTTACAGAGGTAGAGCGATCACTCTGGCAGCGAAAATCTACGGGATTTGGGATAACAGTGGTGTGTGAGGGATTGCGCTATTGAAGTGCTCCGTTTTGTGGCTTTTTTTTTTAGACCACAGGTGGCATATATATATTGTACCTGCTTGTGGAGTTCCATACATTAGCAGGCCATCCAGGGTGATGGCACTGATTCCACACCAGTGAAGCTGGTCCACCCTGTTACAGATCTTGGAGTAAGGTCGCGGTCCTGGGGTGTCCTGGACACCCATCCGGCCTCCAGCTCAGTGTCAGGTGTGGGAAACATGTGCACTTGAGTGTGCAGCTGATTACGTGTACAACATGTTGGGCTGAGTGCCCCTTAGGATCTTTGGTAGGGTTAAACTCTGGGTAGAGTGATGTAGTAGCGGAAGCGTTTAAATGAAGTCCTTGAACCACCTTGCGCTGGTATGTGAGGGCAAAGTAGTTGATTAAAACAAGCAAGTACAAAGGTTTATATAAGAGTACAAAGAATACGAAGAGATATAATTAAACTGTTTTACTGTTGCGGTTCGATACAGTGCGACTCGGGCAACTGCTCAATGTCGAGTCAGTTGTGTGTCCTTGCTGTCGCGCTGCATTTGTCAAGTCAAAGGTCGCTGACCTTTGACTTTCGCGTAACCTCCAGCGGTTACTTCAACCTCCGAGGGTTGACTCGCTGGTGCCTCGATATGCTCTGCTTCGCTTGTGCCTTGGTGTTTCGACACGACAGAGGCGCTTAAGATTGTTTGTTCCCAACACTCCCCTTCGCTTCTGGAGTGTCGCTGCTGGTGACGTGGCTTTGTCCAGTCAGCAGCATGCAGTACTCGAACTTCTGTTTTCCGAGCTTCTTGGTCAAGTAGTCAGCTGCCATCTCGGACGTGGGACAGTAGGATAGTTCAAGTCTCCCCTTCTCAATCTCGTCTTTCACGAAGAAATATCGCAGAGCGATATGCTTCGTTCTGTTCGCGAATCCATTTTTGTTGGCGATGCGAATTGCAGATTGGTTGTCGCAGAACAGAGTGAAGTTGGGTAACTCGGCTAACTTCGCTTCTTCCAGCAGCTCGCGAAGATAGAGTCCTTCCTTGGTGGCTGAGCAGAGTGCAATATATTCTGCTTCAGCTGACGAGAGAGCAATTAATTCCTGCTTGCTCGATTGCCAGGAGATCGGTCCGATAGGTTCGAGGCGGTAGATGTAGCCGGTGCGGGAGCGCCTGTTGTCGGAGTCGCCAGCGTGATCAGCGTCGACGTAGCCGATTAATTTAGTCGGTGTAGTTGTGTTCTTGTAGTAAGTTAGGCCGATCGTTGAGGTACTGACGAAGTAGTGGAGAGCGCGGTCGAGCTCCGCCAGGTGTTCTGCTTCAGGCTTCTTGAGGTAGGTGGCGAGCTGGCTTGCGGAGTATGAGAGGTCGGGGCGGCAGGTGACAGCTGCGAAGAGAAGGCATCCTAGCTTTCTCTGGTAGTCGCGTATCCCGGCGGATTTGAGTAGAGAGGATCCTTCCTTGTGGTTTCCTGTCGCGTAGCGGTAGGGCGTAGAGATGGTGGTAGGTGTGAGCGCGAAGCGTTTGGCGATCGTGTCGGCGTACTTAGCGGCGTTGAGGTAGATCGCGCCTTCTTCTTCCCGAATGTTCAAGCCGAGGTACTGTGTGACGGTAGAGGAGACCGTGAGTGTGAGGTCCCTCTGTAGCTCCCCTTCGAACCAGGTGGTGATGTCGTCAGTGGAGCCGATGTAGAGTAGGTCGTCTACGTAGACGATCAGCAGAATGTAGTCGGTGTCTTTAGTGAGTCGGTACATTCCTTGGTCGTGAGGTAGTTGGCGGAATCCGATGCGAATGAGGCGAGCGTGTAGGTACTGTTGCCATAGCCGCGGAGCTTGCTTGATCCCGTAAAGTGATTTCAGCAGTTGACAGACTTGGTTAGGTTCTCCGTTGGTACCGTATGGGAGCTCGACGAAGATTTCCACGTCGACAGGTGCGTAGAGGAACGCGATGGCGACATCGATTTGCCGTAGCTTCCTTTTCTTCATGGCGGCGATCGCGAGGAGGATTCGAAGTGAGGTATGTCGGCTAACCGGGGCGAATGTCTCGGTGAAGTCCCGTCCGTGCTCCTGATCGAATCCACGCACAACCCAGCGTGCTTTGAACTTCTCAATTGTGCCGTCTGCTTTTGTTTTAACGCGGAAGACCCATTTCCCGGTGAGAATGGTCTTGTTCCTTGCCACGCTGATGGGGACAACTTTCCAGGTGTTCCGTTCCTCCAGCGCCTTTAACTCTCTGTCCATGGCTTCACGCCATTTTTCCCTGTGTTCCCCCCCCAGAGCCTGCTGAACCGTCGCAGGCTCCTTAGGAAGAGTGTTGCCGTGGACTGTGGTGACGAGTCCGAGAATCTGCAGTCCAGTCTGTGAGTAGCGGGGAAGAGTTGCATCCTCGGGATAAGCTGCTTCATCTCCCGCTTCTGGATCAGGTATGAAATTCGGTCCTACTCGTTTCGCTTCGTTGGTGTTGACTGTCGCAGGTCTTACGTAACCGTTGTCGGCGAAGTAGTAGAAGGTTTCGGCGTTGACACTTTCGCGAGGGTTATCTTCGTCCATGGGGACGTCGACGGAGCAGAACGGAAGGGGTCCAGCTTCTTCTAATGCGTTGGCCACATTCTGCTCGTCCCAGTCAGCTTCATCTGCTGCCGAGGCGAAGGCTCGGTCACCACGAAAACCACCTGTGGGATCTTGGTCCTCTTGCAGGTTGGCAAGGTATGTCTGGAGCGTGAGTCGTTCGTAGAAAATGACGTCGCGTGCTGCTACTGTTTCCTTGGAGTGGACGTCAAAGATTTTCCACGCGTTGTAGTTCTTTTCGATGCCGAGGTGTAGTCCCCACTGTGCGCGTTGTGAAAATCGGCCCGCTCGTGCTGCTGGGGGTCGGTACTGTACCATGCATCCGAACACTCGTAACATTTTTGTGCTGCCCTGTTTTCCTGTCCACAGCAGATGCGGTGATGCGTTGTTCGGTAGTGATGAATATGAGAGCAAGTTGTGCAGCATGACAGCGTGGTCCATCGCGTCAGGCCACTGGTGGTTGGGTAGCCACATGCCACGCAACAGTTTGCGCATGCTGTTCTGCAGAGTCCTGTTCATTCTTTCTGCTACACCTTGCTGCTGATGGGCGTAGGGAAGAGAGAGGAGCTGCTTGATTCCCCTTTCCGCCAGGTACTGCTTGAATCGCTGAGAGGTGTATTCTCCTCCTCCGTCAGACTGGAAGCTTTTCAGCTTTACGCCCGACTCTCTTTCTGCTACTGGTAGCCAAGCAGCGAATGCTTCGAGGACCATGTCGCGGCTGGGTAGGTTTAGATGCCAGACGTAACGGGTGGCGGCGTCGATGAAGGTGATTGTGTAGTTGTATATTACTTGTCCTGGTTCCCGATTGTACAGGATGTCGCTATACACCTTTTCGAGTGGTGCGTACGCGGGTGTGCTCGGTTGTGATGAGGAGTGAACGGCCGATGTGGTAAGTCGGCTTCGGGGCAGGTAAGACATGTTCCTTGTGCCCGTTGAAGTTCTCTGCCGTCGAGTAGTAGTAACGAGTCCTTGTCAAGGACTCCTGCTCTTATTGTGTTGTTTAACACAGTGTTGCTTGGGTGTCCCATGCGTGCGTGCCAGATGTCTTCGGAGGCGCGGTGTCCGGGTGAGCGTCGATACGCGTCGGAGTTGGAGTAGAAGCTGGCGGTGAAGTTTGCGCTTCTATGGACTTCCCGTTGAGCCGGATTCAGCTGCTGTGCGGGTGTTGGTGGTGCTTCGTCAACGAGGAGTGGTGTCGTTGTTGCTGCTACTGTTGTTGTTCCTGCTACTGCCGATGATGTCTCTGCTGCTGCCGATGATGTCTCTGCTGCTGCCGATGTTGTCTCTGCTGCTGCCGATGTTGTCTCTGCTGCTGCCGATGTTGTCTCTGCTGCTGCCGATGTTGTCTCTGCTGCTGCCGATGTTGTCTCTGTTGCTGCCGATGTTGTCTCTGCTGCTGCCGAATGTTGTATTGTTACTAACGCACGTGTTCGTTCTGCTTCAGGAATGGTATGTGAATACCAAAAGCCTTCCGGACTGAAGTCGGGGTCGAGATCCGGCGGGTGCGTCCAAGATGTGAATGTGACGATCCCGTCACTGTCTGCGGTGCCCAGGTCTGGGACGAAATCGAGAACGAAGACATTGTTCTTCAGGACCGCCTTTCCGATGTAGAGGCCGCCCTTCCCGTGGTACAGCTTGAACTCCTGGGTGGTACTGTCGGCTTCCAGATGTATGCCTTTCGCCATCAACTGACTGACGCTCAGTAAGTTGTAGCCAAGTCCTTCTGCTATTAGGACTTTGGACATTTGCAGTATGACATTCGTCTCTCGTGACTGAAGTTGCACTACTCCTTGTCGTCGTGTGCGCAGGTTCTGATTATTGGCGACAGTGATGACGACTTCTCGTTGAAGTTGGTGCTCGCGTTGAACGAAACGTCCTGAAGAGCACATATGTTGTCCGCAGCAACTTTCCAAGAACCATGTATCCTTCCCGGACGGCTCGCTTTGAGCGATGGCGGCGTACGTCGGGTTCGGTTGAAGTGACTCGCGGCGAGGCGTGCTGTTG